ACTTTCAGAAGATTTGACAGCGAGATGTCAATAACATGTTTTCATCTCAATACCATACACTAAAGGTTCATGGACTGCACTTGTGGCATTGGAACAACATGGTGCATAAATGGGTCTAGAGAAAGAGAGAGCTTGGGGGTCTTTTAGAGCACACAGGAGCTGTGTTTAGTACCCTCTCTTTGAGATGTGAAACATGCCGGGACCATGTTTGTGTTAAAGGTTTTGTTCTCAGAAAAAGCCTTTGGTTTTTTCCCCCATCTCTTCCTCTAGACTGTTGTTCAAGGTGAGCACAATGGAGGAAGCTCAGTTGGAAATACAAATCATGCTGCTGTGTTCGCTCCTTCTTGTGCTGCTCTTTTGGCCCCAGGGTGTTTGTGGGACACTCCAAATCAAATGTCTCCTAACTCAGTCTAGGGAGGGGATGAACCCACCCAATCATTACAGGCCAGGAGAGCTTTTTATTGGCGGCATAATCTCTGCAACCAGGGCTAAGTTTCAATTGTTAAGCTTCAACACAACTCCTTCAACTGAGCCATCCCGGTGAGTGACATTTCCAGGAATGCATTTCAGCTGCCAACTTTTGCTATATATTGTTCACTTCTCAATTTCCTTAACATCCTTTGAGTAGAGCTAGAGTATGGATGGGAAAAAGGAAGGAAGTGACTCTTATCTGCTCCTGCAGGAGTGGTATATTTTTTCTCTACATAGAAAGTGTAGAAGAAGAACAGTTTTTATCTGTGGGCTGTCTGACTCCTGAATGAAAAATAACTTTTATTCTAGAAAGTTTTTCTTGAGCTCCTAAAGACTGAAAAATATCAAAACATAGTACGATTGACTTGCTGGGCCGACGTGACATGCAATAAGTTCACAGGATGCAATAGGACTGGGTGTTTGTTAGTAGGATTCAGTGGGCTAGGGATTTTTTGTCTTTCACTGAGAGTTGTATTATGTTGGGGAGGGAGTGTTCACGAACTGAGGCTCAGCCAATCTCATTGTACACATGCTGTACTGACAATAAATGTTTGAAAATAATTCTTTATTCAGGACTCAAATCCACTATAATATGAAGGAATTGTATACAGGGATTTGTTTAGACACTTACTTTCTGTATGTCTTTCAGTCCCATTTTGAATTGATGGCAGTTCTCATAAACCTGAGAGCCAGTTTACAATAGTGGTAAGAAAGGCATCAGATAGAAGCCAGGAGGTAGTGATTCTAGTCCTACCTTGCCACTAGCAATAGTACCTAGACTTATATACCTCCTCACAGTGCTTTACAGCCATCTCTAAACAGTTTACAGAGTCATCATATTGCCCTCAGCAATCTGGCTTCTCATTTTACTCAGAAGGATGGAATGCTGATTCAACTTTGAGCTGATCAGGGTCGAACTCCTGACAATGGGCAGAGTTAGCCTGCAATACTGCATTCTAACCACTGTGATACCATGGCACAAAGCTAGCTGGATGACCTTGAGCAAGTCACTTTCACTGAACCTAATGAAGGAAATAAAGGGAAATCACTTTTGAAAAATTGGACACAATTGCAAAGAAGAAGAAGAAAATCATCTTATAATTATTTTAATGTAAGCTAAATCTCCACTCAGAAGGCTTCTAAATCTATTCTAAACATAACAGACATGAGTAACATACTGTATGGGATTCATTAATAGTCCCAGATGTTCACTGTATGTTATATTTGTATATACAGTAGGTTAGTGAACTTGGTGGCCCTTTCCAACTTTATGATTAAATGATTTTGTCTTCATATAGAAGAATAAGCCAAATTTCTAAATATTAAGAACTGCAGAAAATTATTTTTTGCCACAAACTGGAGCTGTGTCCCTTCAGAACCAATCTGAAAAAATATTTACTGGTATGGTTTACTGTTTTGTTTTATTTTAATATTTTTACCAATGTGACAATCCATTCAGAGGCTCACTCGAGCCTAGTCGGATTAGAAGTATTTTTGTAAACAGAGGTTAAATAAAATACTATTTAAATTGATTGCATTCTAATACATTTACGTATATTTCTAGGAAAGCAAAGCCAGAATACTGGAAAGTGCTGTCCTATCTTTTTGCCATCCAGGAGATCAACCAAGATTCTCATCTCTTACCCAACATCACCCTGGGCTACAATGTCTATGAAAATTATTTCCATCCACGAATGACTTCAGATGCTTTGCTGGATCTGCTTTCTGATGGGGAGGCCAATGTTCCCAACTACAGCTGTGGAAGGCAGAGAAACACAGTGGCTGTTCTGGAAGGATCTGAGACTGGCATCTCCATCCAGATTTCAACCATGTTGGGCACCTACAAAATCCCACAGGTCTGCCAGCGAGAAAAGTTGTAGTTATGCACAACTTTTTCAGAGGTCTTCTCCTGTAAATGGAGAGCAAAGTTTGATCATGGACAGGATAGGCACTAAAAATGAAATTTCAGTAGTAATACTTTATTGTCATTGCACCTCATACAAATAAATTAAATGCCATCTTCAGTGTACATTATACATAAGAAAACTATAAAAATAAAACACAAGCACACATCCTTCACATTCTATGCAATTGAATTGAAAACCCTTGATATTCAATATAGTTACTGCTGGGATAGAAGCTATTGTTCAGCCTATTTGTCCTCGTCTTTAATGTCCTGTACCGCCTGCCAGAGGCTAATAGTTCAAAAAATAGTTCAGGATATCCAATGGGAGAGAAGGAATGGAATAGAGATTACACCATAAATCTCTCTCATCAACGTTCTAACCCAGAGTGTGAGATCTTCTAATTTTGGGAGTTTGATAGATTCTTCACTAAAGAAGCAAATGGAGAAACAATATGTGAAATGAGCCTTCTGTGATGGATTTGTGGGTGTGGGGACAAGATCATGAACTTTCAACTGGGTGGGAAGCCGATGTAACTTCCAGAATTGGGATTTCACAGATGTGCTAAGATGTCTGATTTATTAAATTGGAACTTTAAGGATCGTTTTGCCTTGAACTCTGATTTAATTCTACATGATACTTGGAACGCTGACACTTTCATTTTAGAGAGTGGACAATGTCTTTATTAAGGCTAGTATGGTTATTTTGAATTCTGAATATTTGGACTGTCAACTAAAGTGCCACCTTTTTTTTCTTTTCAGATCAGTTACAGTTTTGTTTTGCAGGTTCTGAATGATAAAAGCTATTTTCCTTTCTTCTACCCGATGCTCCCCTCTGAAGGATTCCAGTATTCAGGGATGGTCAAGTTACTCCTCCATTTCAAGTGGATTTTGGTTGGGCTGCTTGCTCCAGACACTGATCAGGGGCAGAAATATGTGAGGACGATGACCTCCATGTTGATAAAGAATGGCATCTGTCCAGTTTTATCACAAACCTTTTCCAGAGCTGGCCACAAACTGTTCAGTCTTTCTGATACTTACAGCAATTGGAGACAGGTTAATGTCTTCCTCTATGCAGCTGACATGGATACAATAGCCATTGGGATGTTAATTATACACAAAGCTGTTGAGTGTTTTAAGAAACCTGTTACAGGCAAGGTCCTGATGACAACTGTCCTGTGGGACTTACAACTATATTTAATGGAGGTTGCTACTCTCACTGAACTAAGTCTGGACAAGACTGACAACCTCCATAGCATGTTTTCCTTTCTTATGAAAACAAGGCAAACAGCAAACTATGTGATGTCTCGTCATTTTTATTCTGCAATGCAACATTTCTCAGAAAGATCCTTTACATGTTCTTACCCCAAGGATCCTTTTTCAATGAAACTCTGGAAACGATGCAGACAAAAAGAAGAACTGGAGACTCTGCCCCAAGAGGCAATGGATCATATCTTGTCAATAGACAACTATTTCACTTACAACACAATCTGGGCTGTGGCGAAGGCTTTACATACAGTCATGATATCCAGCTCTAAGAGGACAAGGAATAAAGATGATAAGAACAGGGAATCTCCAAGGCTGAAGGCTTGGCAGGTATTTATTTTTTAATTTACTTTGTGCATGGCTGCCTTGCAGATATGAATCCGTTTCATAATTGTCAGAACTGAAAACTATTCTGAAAAGTTAGCTGATTCTTATCAGAGTTTGTTGCAGAAAAATCAAAAATCCAGAAAGCACACACAGATAACTGATTCAGCTGGATTCATTAACTTCTTTACATACATAATAAGAGATGAATAAATGTACAATACCAATAGGAGATTATTTCAACATGATAAAAGTTACAAGCAGAACACAATCCGGGTGGGTTCCGGCTGCTGCTTCTGCCGGTTCGCTTAGGGATGCATTGTGCATGCGCGCTTGATGCACACTTGATGCGTAGAAGAAAAAAACAAGATGGCGGTGCCATGGGGACCATCGAGGAAAGTAGTTCGGGGGCTTGGCAGGCCAAGTTACTACCTACTGGTCCAAACCGGTAGGAACCCACCTCTGGAACACAAGCAGGAGAGAACAGTTAGTTTCATTTCAGAGTTCAGCACAGACAGAGATCAGTCTTGTTTCAGTTTCAATTCTCAGCCCAGACTCCGGCCTGTTTAAGCTCCCATTGGCTGATTTAGTTGCTGTGCCTATTCATTAGCTGACCTTGTTGCCATGTCTCTCCCGGTCATGAATATTCTAACCATTCTTGATACAAAAGGAAAATTGAATACAAATGTTCTGTTCTTTTCCCCCCCTTTGCATTACCACCACTTCTTCCCCTTAACTGGCAACTTGTTTTCTGTTTAAATTGCTTTTCAAATAAAATATTTTAATATCTTTACTCTTGATTTTCTTTTAGCATGTTAGGGGAGAGCAAAACTTGGAGAAGCTTTCAAGAGTGCAGCTAACCCTTTAGAGGGAAGACAGGCAAGAATCAGCAGTGATTCCAGAAATACTACTTTATAAAGCATATGAACAGCATCTTGAAAGGTTGACCAAATGAGTCTCTCTTTCTTGATCTTTCTTCAGTTCACATGTAACTATACTATACATCCCAAAGGTGTTTTTTCAAGAGGCAACTGGACTTTCTGATCTTTCTTTTGAAGATGTTTCCCTTCTCATCCAAGAGGCTTCTTCAGCTCTGACTGGATGGTGGAGAATGAAAGGATTTATACTCCTTGCAGATAGCTGGACATTTGCATTCTTTTAGAAAAACATAACACAAATTCTCACTAAAAGAATGTAAATGTTTAATACTATCTAAATGAAATCAAATAGATGGTAAATATAGAAATATTTGTTGGAGGTGCAAGAAAGAGGTTGGATCATATAAACATGTGGTGGGATTATGATAGTACACAAAAAATATGGGATATGGTGTTTAGAGAAATTAGAGCACTGTTGAATGTAAATCTAAATATGTCACGGATTGCATTATTGTTACTGGTGGAAAAATGATATATAAATGAAACAAAAAAAGAATTGGTTGTAAATTTGATAATGGCAGCTAGATTAGTGATGGCTAACATTGGGGATGAAATTGGGATATTCAAAGAAATGAGAGAAATGAAATTTGGAGTATGGAAACAAATGATAAATTAACAACAGAAAAGAAACTTTAAAAAGGGATGATTAAAGTTAATAATTATAATGAAATACGGTTTTTTGTATAAAATCAGTGTTGGTGGAAGGCAAATGGAATAAACCTACTCAAGAATATATGTTGTTTTGGAAGGGATAAGGCAGGGGTGGGTTCCTTCCAGTTCTAACCTCTTCTATAGAAGAGGTTCCACAAATCTACTGTGCCATTTAGAACCGGTTCCAGCTCTCTCCCCCTGCCTGTCCATACATCATCAAGATGAAGAGTGAGAGGACAAATTCTGGGAGTTGAAGTCCACAAGTCTTAAAGCTGTCCAGTTTGAACAGCCCTGGGGGTTTTTTTCTAAAGGGTTAGGGGTGCAAGGGTCTTGTAACTTGACAGCTTTAAGACTTGCGTGCTTCAAATGCCAGAGTTTCTGAACCAACATTTTGGTTGCTAAGCAAGAGCATTGTTAAGTGAGTTACACCACATTTTATAAGTTAGCCACTCCCACCCAGTCACATGGCCAACAAGCCACTCCCACAAAGCAAGCCACACCTACAGAAGAGGTTCTAAAATATTTTGAAACCCACCACTGGGATAAGGGCACAATTGGAATATATTGTGTATCTAAGAAATATAGAGGGGGGGAGTCTCCAAGTGGTGGGAGTGCACTATAATATGTGTTTTTCCCTTTTTCTTTTGTCTTTTTTTTATTCAATTGGATGTGTACTATTTTTATTATTTGTGTTTAAAAAATATTTTGTAAATATTTTTTTGTAAAATGTAAATGTCAAGCTGTTTGCAAGGATTATAAATCCTTCCATTCTCCACCATCCAGTCAGAGCTGAAGAAGCTTCTTAAATGAGAAGTGAAATGTCTTCAAAAGAAAAACCAGAAAGTCCAGTTGCCTCTTGAAAAAGCACCTTTGGGACAACCATGACCTGGATGACTGAGAATCTCCATAGTCAACTGCACTGGACATTGCTAAATATTAGAATGTAAATGTTTATAGATTGTCTACAAATGACTTGGGAAATAGCAATAGCAATAGCACTTAGACTTATATATCACCCCAAAGTGCTTTACAACACTCTCGGGGCAGTTTACAATGTCAGTGTATCACTCCCAAAAATTCGGATCCTCCTTTTACTGACCTCAGAAAGATGAAATAACAGAAGAACAGAATTAAGAATAACATAGTTGGAAGGGACCTTGGATGTCTTCTACTCCACCCCCCTGTGCAAGTAGAAAAATCTATAACATTTTAGACAAATGGATGTCCAATTTCTTCTTAAGAGGAAGGCTGAGTCAACCTTGAGCCCCATCAGGATTGAACTCCAGGATGAGGGCAGAGTTTGCTTGCAATACTGCATTCTAACCACTGTGCCACAAGGGCTCCTTCAGAAATAAATCTGAAACTTTCACTTTGTATGCCAGTTCACAGTCCACAGCACAAACTAAGGGATCTTACTGTAGAGTTTTTAAAGTCCCATTTAAACTTACTTTGTTTTCCATCCAGATTCATTCTTCCCTTCAAAACCCTCAGTTCTACAATGATTCCATAGAAGGGGTGCACCTGAATGAAAATGGAGAGCTGATAGCAGACCTGGACATTGTGAACTGGGCAATTTTCTCCAATATATCTGTAAGCAAAGTGAAATGTGGGCATCTAGAAAAACAGGGATCCCTGGATTTCAATTTTATAATCAACCAGAAATCTATTGAAGAGATGGAAGTATTGAACAAGGTGGGGAAAAGACAACATTTCATTCTTCCTGAAGCTCTTACCAAGAGAATTGCAGTGTTGAGGCAGGGATAGGTTTGAGATGTCACTTCAATCTTCTAAGATAGGCAGAAGCTTATTTGGTTAGATAGATGTTCAAAAAGAATTGTGTCCTTCATTATTCAAGGAAGACACAGCTGATCTCCCCCATCCCTTGTTTTTACTGTTGTTGTGAGCCATCCATTTTGTGGATAATAAGCTGAGAGGCTGTACAAATCTGAAGGGAGGGAGAGAGAAAACTACCCCCATACAAAGTGATATAGACTTGATCCATGGGAGCAACATAATTCATTTCTCCAACTAGAGAATCCATCTGACCTTCTTTTCAATAATTTAGTAATTAAATTTAGATCTTAAACCAAATCAGTGCATAAATACTGAAAAGGGAGATAAAGACAGAAGCAACATTCAGCCAAATCATTTGATGAGCCCCCCAAAATTTGGTAAAATTAAAACTAGACATTTCAAACGCCTTGCTCTTTCCCCCCCATTCTTAATCTTAATTCATAACTTGTTTTCTGGATGTTGTGTCTGTTTAGCCCCTGCCTCCTTCCAGGTGTGTGGAAAGCTGCCATCCTGGATTCATGAAGGTGGCTCAGGAAGGGAAACCCATCTGCTGTTATGACTGTCATCCTTGTGCAGAAGGAACCATCTCCAGCATGGAAGGTGGGTGGCATCGGATAGGGGGAGGGGAGAGGAGAGGAGAGGAAAAAAAATGAATCAATGGTAAACCAAACTTTCTCCTTGCATCCATGGGAAGATGGCCCTTTTGCTATTGCTGAAAATGCAAGACGTCTTCAATCCAGTGCACAATCAGTCATGCTCTGGTTATCTCATTTTTTGAATATTGCAATGTGCTCTACATGGAGATACTCTCAGCATAGCATTTGTATGCTATGATTAGTACATAATGTATTGTGGTTCTTCAATTGTATTCATTTCTTTGTAGACACAGCTTCATTGGTTCCCTGTAATAATCATAAATGGACCTTTTTTTAATTATCAGATTTATTTGCCACCCATCTTGCAATTCAAGGCAACTATGAGTGTCTTACAGTATGATTTTTTATTTACTTTTGAAAGGTTCAGCAGTGGAATGATAACATGATGCCTCCATCCCTCCCTCCCTTCCTTCCTTCTTTCCTTTCTTCCTCCCTTCCCTCCTTCCTCCCTACAAGTTCATTAATAAAAGGGTGAAATTAAAAAAGAAAAAGAGAAAAATTGAGTTAAATTAAAAAATGAAGAGGAAATTAATGTTTCTCTTCTCAGTGGAGTGAAATGAAGTATATTAATTTCATCCACACACAATCAGCAACATCAATAATTTGACTCAATCAATGGATTTCATTGACATACATACTTAATGGGGAAATTTTACTCTTGTTCTTTTCAGATGCACAAAAATGCACCATATGTCAAGAAGATCAATATCCCAATATTAAACAAGTTCACTGTATTCCCAAGACCAGTAGCTACCTTTCTTATAAAGAAACTCTGGCAATCATCCTGGCTTCTATTGCCTTATTCATGTTTTTAATCACAGGCTTTGTTGTGGGAATCTTCATTAAATTCCTGGAAACTCCAATCATCAAAGCCAACAATCGGGACCTCTCCTTCATCCTCCTCATCTCCCTCCTACTTTCCTTTTTGACCTCCCTCCTCTTCATTGGTCGGCCAAACAAACAAACCTGCCTTCTCCGACAAACAGCCTTCAGCATCATCTTCTCAGTTGCCATTTCTTCAATCTTGGCCAAAACGATCACAGTAGTGTTAGCCTTCTTGGCCACTAAACCAGGGAATAATATTCAGAGGTGGCTGGGTAAAAGTTTGACCAATTCTATCATCTTTTCTTGCTCTGCTGTCCAAGTTGTCCTCTGCAGCATCTGGTTGGGTACTTCTCCCCCATTCCCTGACTCTGACATGCATTCCCAGTATGGAAATATTATTTTGCAATGCAATGAAGGGTCTGTCACCATGTTTTACTCTGGCCTTGGTTATATGGGCTTTCTGGCTACCATTTGCTTCACGCTGGCTTTCCTGGCCAGGAATCTACCTGGGGCCTTCAATGAAGCCAAGCTGATTACTTTCAGCATGCTGGTCTTCTGCAGTGTCTGGGTCACTTTTGTGCCCACCTACCTGAGCACCAGGGGGAAGTACATGGTGGCTGTGCAAGTCTTCTCCATCTTGGCATCTAGTACTGGGCTTCTGGGCTGCATCTTCATCCCCAAGTGCTACATTATTTTTTTAAGACCTGATCTAAATACTAAAGAACATGTGATGTCAAAATAAACTAGAAACTTTTTTGGGGGTATGTCTATCTCCCAAAGATCAGGATTGTTATATGCTATCTTAATGTTCCTTAAAAAGTGCATACACAAAAAGTGTTACAGCATTGTTCTGAGGCCAGATATAAATACAAAGCAGCAACTAGTGTTGAAAAGTGAAGTAGAAAAGTGGTTCTGATAGATGTTCTGGAGTTACCCCAGATAATTTGGGATGTTTCCACCCAACATTTTAATTCATCATTAGGTACTTTTCAGTGGAAAACTCTATTTTTGGCTTTTCTTTTTAAAGTGATCTTCTGTTTATGCCCAATTCCAATCTTTTTTTATCTTTCTATGTCTGATAACTATTACTTGGCATTTTAGGATTCCTTATTAGTCTTTAAGTAAGGATATTTTAACAATTTAGCACAGCAGTGTAGGTCTCTTTTCTTATTTTAGGAAAGGACATTTTTCTTCTGAGCCAAGACCATTTCTTTTCATATATGAGAACTAACCTTTTCAGTCACTAAACCAAAGACAGTGTATTTTGAAAGTTCTTCAGTACAATTGCAAATTTTAAGTAAGACACTTACCCAGCTAGGAAAGGGTGTGATGTGATGCATTAATTTTCCCCTTCTTGAATATTTTCTATTGTTCAATTCTTACATGTAGTCAATGTATTTTATTCTTTTATTAGTTGCTTTCTGATGTATAACATATACCAAATGTTTGTACCATTTGTTTTGTACTTTATCAAAATAAATGACACCCACTCACCCCTCAAAAAAAATACATTTCACTTTGTTTGTGGTCCTTCTTGGGTAGAATAAAAATACTACTTTTGCAAAACATGAAAGCATTTTTCTCTTGCAAATTCAGGGGGAAAGGTTTTAACAGCTCCATGTCAAAATCCTGCTGCCTAAATTTCAAACAAAAATAGGAGAAAAAGCACTGCAGCACAAAAGGTGTAATCTCTTTTTTATTAATCCAAGGGTCACTTGTTCACTTATGTAGTATGCTATTTTAAATACAGAATAACAGTGTTGGATGCGACCTTGGAGGTCTTCTAGAAACAACCCCTTACTCAAGCAAGAGACCCTATACCTTTCCAGAGAAATAGCTGTCTAATCTCTTCAATGATGGAGCACCTATGAATTTTGGAAGCAAGTTGCACCATTGATGAGCTGTTCCCAATATCAGGAAAATTTATCCTTAATTCTAAGCTCTCCTTGATAAATTTCCATCTATCATTTATTGTCCTGCTTTCAGGTGCTTGGGGGAATAGGTTGAACACTACTCCGTGACTCTTCCTTAGATTTTGGAAGACTACTATCATGTCTTCCTCATCCTTCTCTTCCTTATAGGGGACATATTTTCTACCTCAAGCACAACAGCTCTCGAATCAACAGGGTTTTGATACCGTTTTCCAACAAGATACAAACTTGATAAGCTGCCCAGAAACACTGACTGAGATGGGTAACTATAGAAATAGATGTATTGAAAATAAATAAATAAATAAATAAATAAATAAATAAATAAATAAATAAATAAATAAATAAATAAATAATACAACATGCATACATACATAGCAATCTTAAATTGCACATCCTTCAACCATAAAGTGATACAGCTGGCAGACTGCAAGATTCTCAGTACCTTTAGTTCTATACCTGCACTAATTTCATGAGCCTACAAAAACAAAAAGGCATCTGGACATCTCACTTTTTTCAGTTTCAGTTGCTTAGTTACACATTGACATCACTTCCTCCTGAGCTCTTGCTGAGGTGCATTGTTAATCCTTTGCACAGAAGGCACAGTTTTGATCTGCATACTCTCTTCCTTTTGCACACGTTCCTGCTATGCGCTCATGCCTAAAGCTCATATGTAGCAATAGCACATGGACTTATATACTGCTTCACAATGCTTTACAGAACTCTCGAAGTGGTTTTGAGAATCAACATATTGCCCTCAACAGTCTGGGTCCTCTTTTACTGATCTCAGAAGGATGAAAGGATGAATAAACCTTGAGCCCATCAGGATCGAACTGCTGGCAACCAGCAATCAGCAGAATTAGCCTGCGATACTGCATTCTAACCACTGTGCCACCAGTGCTCTTGTATGAGATAATTATCCTAAGCCAAGATCCAATTAATGTTTTCTTTCCTGAGAGCCACCAGTTCTTCCACACTTTCACCAAAACATATTCCTACTGGATAAACATGGAAATGTTTTCTTTCTAACGTTTATAATTCTGTCCAGATTTGATTTGAGGAATATATTAAAAGTATCATAATTTTCCCATTTCATTTTCTGTATTAGAAAAGAAAAAAAGACACCAAGGTATTTCAAGGGAAAGGAACTAAAGATCAAGTTTACATCCATTACTTGCTGGCTTCTTGATGAGAAATATTGATGTGTTGAATGGGATGGTGGTCTCCATAAGTATTCATTTTTGTCTGAGCAATAAATCAGTTATTGGGGTAATGCCCTGCCTCTGTCGAGATTCAGGTTAACGTCAGGGTTCCAAGTAACACCCCCAACAAAAGAAGACTCTGAGGCTTGAGTTTCCTCAAAGTTTAATTTTATTAGAGATGCCATATTGGCACAACTGGGAAAACCTGAATCTGAAAGTTTCCAGGTTTTCCCCATCCAAAAGAAAGTTCAAGAACCTGCCCAACACCCATATGACCAACACACGATCCAATCAGGCACCATCTAAAACAGGAGATGCCTCACATTCACATCATTGCAGCTGAAGAGCACGGTGGCCTTGACTCTCTGAGAAAGAATGTTATCATGGCTACATATCACCCACACCCTGTATAATCCCCTCTCCCATTTTCCCACAGTAGAAAATGTGGCAGACCTGCAGTCCAAACAGTAAAAGATGGTTTCCAGGTCTGACAGCTTCTGACTTTAATGGACATTGTAATAGGCATGGGTCAGATTTTCATGGAAGGAACTGCAGTTTAAATAGAGTGACTCTTCTTATGAGACCACAATTCCATTCTTCTGTTGCCTGCTCCCCTACCTTTAATGCTGCCAGCAAGCACTTGGACAGAGGTGAGGTGACAACTTTAGCAGATAGCAATTGGAAGAGTTTTGTTTTGTTTTGTTTTGAACTACATGAAGGGCCAAATTGCAGAGAGATCATCACCGAGAAGGTTTAAGACATCACTAGATATTAATAGCCATGTGACAGCTTATAATCTATCAGTTTCTATGCCCAACAAGGGCAGTATTCAGAAAAGTTTTTTTTTTCAAAAAATGTTCAGGATACATCATTATCTGGAAGTATCCATTCTGGAGTATCTGATCTGTATGGAAGGAGGTGGCCGTGACCATACCAAGCATAATAATAAGAAATTGTATTGTCCCCACTGGGTAGTGAAAAAGTGTTGAGAAAGGTGATATCATAAGGACAAATTATTATTAAATAGCTTTATAATGATGTAATGGAATATTGGTATATATGAATCGAATATTTAGAATATTTTGCTTAAAATGAAGGAATAACAACTGTAGTTGAACATATGATGTACAATGATAACGACGTATCTGTTGTGGCCCAGCAGGAGCCGTTGGAGCTGCCAATGGACTCCAATAGTGAGGAACCCTATGAGTCTGCTATGGAAGATATGGAGGACCCTGGGCAGGGTTCAGACTCAGAGCAGGGACCAGAGAGGCTGGTTGGCCACCAGGAGGCGCCTGAGGCATGGAGCAGTGGGGAAGATCAAAGGGAGTTTGTCCCTGATGCCAGGCAATGGAGGGCGGAGAAACGGAGGCAGCTGTTACGGAGACAGACTCATAAGAGATAATCAAGCCCAGGTGGTTGTGGCTTGGCCCCTCCCAAAAGAGTATATAAGAAGAGACTTGGGGAGGAGTCCTTTTGCAGGACACAACCGTTCGTACTAATCTGGAGAACTCCTTGTCTGATCTGCCTTGTGTTCCCATGTCTGTTGGAGTCTGGGTTGCTGCTTGCCAGTGAGTCGTGTGTGGGCTTTCAGCCAACAGGATTATAATTGCTGTGAATAAAGAGTGGCAAACAGCTAAGCCTGTGTCTGCGTTCATTACCGGACCCCGGTGGGGGGGGGGGGCAGAACACGTATCTATGTATACTTGATGGACAATCTGCGATTTTATATACAACTGAAAATGGTGATGCATAAGTATTCTTTCATATTCTAGAATATGAATAGAATGAAATAGGTGATTCTAGAAAGACATATTATTACTAAATAGACTAATAATGATGCAATGGAATGTTGGTATATACATGAATCTAATCTTTAGAACATTCGTTTTAAAATGAAGGCATAACAATTGTAATTGAATATAATTTACCGTGACCCGACAAATGCGCGCCCGACAACAGCGCGCCAACAAAACTGCACCAACAAAAGAGCGCCAACAGAAATGCGATTAGGGTTAAGGTAAGGGTTAGGGTAAGGGTAAGGGTAAGGGTAAGGGTTAGGGTTAGAGTTAGGGTTAGGGTTAGGGTTAGGGTTGGGGTTGGGGTTGGGGTTGGGGTTAGGGTTAGGGTTAGGGTTAGGGTTAGGGTTTTTACGTTATTTTTGTGTTGTTTGTTGATGCCGTGCTTCTGTCGGCGCTCTTTTGTCAGCGCGCCTATGTGGGCGCGATTTTGACATCGCGGTTTTCTCACCGCGGTTTTGTCGGCATGCTTTTGTTATGCACGCATTTCTTGGTGAACCATGATTTACAATGACAATAATGTATCTATGTATACCTGATGGACAATTTGTGACCCTATATATAATTGAAAGTGGTGATGCACAAATGACTTGTAACCAAATGACATGCTATATGTATATGTAATTGATGATGATTTTATGTTCTATGTATTGTTTGTCTTTGTCTGTCTAAAAATAAAAAAAAATAAAAAAGTGTTGAACTGTTTTAACACATGACAGTCTTTAGGAGCTCAAGAAAAACTTTCTAGAGTAAAAAGCAGTCAAACATCCCTGAATTGTTCTCTTCCTTACTCTTAAATTAGAACTATGCCCCTGAGTTATGCAACCTATTTTCCCTGTTGCATGCCTCTGTGGCACCATTGATTCCCAATTCCCTTTTTAATTATTCAAATCATGGTGACTTATTTTATTTTGAACAAAGCCTAATGGTATATTTCCACCATCACCACCACCATTAGTTTTAGCGCAATCAGACAACAAGATGGGATCTGCAAGAACTGAAAATCTGAGTGTAACAACCTCCAGCACTACTGACAGAAGGGGTAGAAGCATACGAGGGTTGTGCTAGCTGTGCCATTGCAGGTTTGTCTTCCAGATCTGGAGCCAAACTGGCCCATCTTCACTACAGTTGTGTTTTGGAAGCTGCACGCTCTCTCCCAGAGGAAGAACTATAGGAAGGATCTCCATCTATATATGACGAAGGATGCTTCATCAAAAACTGCTCTTTCTGCTTCTGCTTCTGTCCCTGTTTCCCTGCATCACAGTGCAAATGAAATGTCTATTGAAAGCGACAATAGAAGAAGAGAAGGAGTTTAATTATTACAAGCCAGGAGACTACCTGATTACTGGAATAACGTCTAGAATATTTTCTCGAAGTTATCCCTATGTTCTTTCCAAGCCTCCAACTCATAGACTGAGAAGGTAACTATTGTCCTATACACGATTCTCATGATTGGTTTTTACCTGCCTCAATGTTTTCTCCCTAGGACAGATTTCTTCTTTCCAATTCCTCACCTTGTAGACAAGGAGGTCATAATTGCTTCAACCAATTTTCTTCAGGAAAAGCCCAACATGCAAAGTTTTTTTTAAAGTTCTCCCTCAAGGGTCAGCCTCAACACTGGGCAGATTCGGCAGCACTCTTGTAAGACGGACTCTTGCAGGGTGGGATTCTGCTGTTCTCAAAATGATTCCTTTGGCTCGGTCCGCAAAGATTTATTTTTATTTATTTACTTATAAGTTATAGTTAAAAGGGACATGATGGCTCAGTGGCTAAGACACGGAGCTTGTCAATCAGAAAAGTCAGCAGTTGGATGATTTGAATCCCTAGCACTGCATAATGGAGTGAGCTCCCCATTACTTGTTCCAAATTCTGCTGGCTCTTCAGCTTTGTAACAAAGATGAGCACCACCCCCTAGAGTTGGGAACAACTGGCACATATGTGTGAGGGGAATCTTTACCTTTTAAGTTATAGTTACAGATATTCCTTGACTTACTACAGTTTAATAGGGACCGAGGGGTGCTTGGGTGGTCTTTGAGCTTGCTAGTTTTCTTGCAGACATTTCATTATCCAAACTGTCAGGCCTGCAGCGGTTCCTTTAAGAATCTTTGGCCTGCCACACTCTCATTTAAGCGGGGTGGGGAATAGCAAGGGGCAGAATGTGTTGTTTTCAAAATAAAAAAATCCTTTCTAGAAGCTCAAGGTCATCTTTTGTCTCCGCACCTTTGCACCTGACTGGAAGCAGCTGAGCGTAGGTGCTAGCATGGAAGAAGAAGATTGGACCATGTGATGGACTGTGGGTGTGGGGACAAAATCATTAACTTTTAACTGGGTCGGATTCTGATGTAATTTCCAGAATGTTAGCATTCCAAGTATCATGTAGAATTAAATCAGAGTCCATAGCAATGTGCTAAGATGTCTGATTTATTAAATTGGAACTTTAAGGAAAGTTTTGCCTTGGACTCTGATTTAATTCTACATGGTTCTTGGAACACTGACACAAACTAGATAACATCATTTAATGACTGTTTGAAGTTACAAAAGTAATTGACAACTGAAAAAAAAGTTACTTTTGGCTGGTTTTCACACCTGTGACTGTTGCAGAATCCCTGTGGTCAAGTGACCAAAATTGACAACTGGCATGTAACCATGATGGCTCCAGTGTCCTGGGGTCATGCAATTACCTTTTGCGACCTTCTGACAAGCAAGTCAAGGGGGAAGGCAGATTCACTGAACATCTGTGTCACTTTCTGCAGTGATTCATTTAGCAATTTTGGCAAGGAAGGTCATAAAACAGGGCAAAATTAAATTTAACAACTCTCTTGGTTAGCAATCAACAATTTTGGTTCAATTGTGATGTGGTTGTGAAACTACTTTTATATTTAGCCCCATCTCACAATCAAGTGACTCAATACTTTTTGAGCAAACTGGAACTTCTTGAGTTAGCTTCTACCTTCTCTTCTCCTTTCCAACATTGCACTGTATCCTTCCTTTCTTCCCCCCTCTCTTTACTTTCTTTCCAACCAATGTCTTTGATCTAGTTTGTATACTTTTTAGGCTTCCATGTTACTTGTGGTTTAAATAAAAGGAAATCCTTTTTAAAAAAAACAAATCCAAAGAGAATAAAGGCCTTATGTGATAAGTTAATGGTGTAATCATTTGCTAGACCAATTCTTGAATACAGCTCATCTGTCTGGAACCTGCACTGCATATTGGACATTAATACAATTGAGTGAGTCCAAAGATATTTCACGACAAGAGTCCTCCACTCCTCTGCTCGCAACAGAACACCTTATGCCGTCAGGCTTGAAATTTTGACCTTAGACAATTTAAACTATGCCACCTTCGGTCTGATCTGGGCGTAGTACACAAAATTATCTGCTACAATGTCCTACCTGTCAATGACTACTTCAGCTTCAATCGCAACAATACTTGAGCACACAATAGATACAAACTTAAGGTCATTCGCTCCAAACTCGATTGCAGAAAATACAACTTCAGCAACAGAGTGTTCACTGCCTCAAATGCTCCACCAGACACTGTGGTTTCATCCCCAAATCCCCAAAACTTCAACCTTAAACTGTCTACTGTTAACCTCACCCCATTCATAAGAGGTCTGTAAGGGACGTGCATAAGTGCACCAACCCTAACCCTAACCCAACTGTCCCCACTTATTCTTATCCATTTCCTGTATTCATAATCATGTTTATACTTATCTATGTTATCTTATACATGTTTGACTAGATAGATAGATAGATAGACAGACAGACAGACAGACAGACAGACAGACAGACAGACAGACAGACAGACAGACAGACAGACAGACAGACACGATCACATTAAAGATTTTTGAATATAGGGCACTCACTCCAAAGCCACCAATAGTCTGCAGCAAAATAATCTCTGGGTCTACTGATGGATTTTTAAGGAGTGGATCATCTCCACCTGGTCAAGAGTGAATCTTGCACTTGAGTAAAGCCATTTGTCACTACCTGAGGGGACTAATAGCAAGAAATAATATGATATAATTGCAATACATACTGCATGCACACCTGGTAACATGCTATTTTTTTAGCATTCTCGAGGGCTGTGAATACCCATATGGCCCATATGGCCCACATGCATTGGTCTAGGCTGGGTGGTTGATCTGTCAAAGTGGTTGATCTTGCAGTGGGGAGAAATAATATAGTGTGCTTTCTGAGTGCTTATGAGCCACCTAGAATCATTGAACAAATTTGCAGTTCTGTGACAATGTTTTGCCATATCCTGCCCTTCTTCTTGGCTGTTCGTGAGATCAACCAGAGCCCAAGACTCTTACCCAACATCACGCTGGGCTACAACATCTATGAGAACTTCTTCAATGCAAGAATAACCTATGAGGCCATGATGGACTTCCTGTCTACAGGCCAGGAGAATGTGCCAAACTACAGATGTGGAAGGCAAAAGAACCTGCTGGCAGTTCTTGAAGAGACAGAATCTGAACTTTTTGATCATATTTCAACTTTCCTGGGCATCTACAAAATTCCACAGGTATAAAGTTAAAATCATTTTTTATTTCCATGCTATAAATCTCTCCAAATAAATCTGGACACAGAGTTTTGATATTAAAAGACCTGAAGTAATTTACTTTCTGTAAAGTACAGGTAGTCCTCAACTTACGGCAACAATTGAGCCCAAATTTTATGTTGTCAAATGACAACTTTGTTAAGTGAGTTTTGCCCCATTTTCCAAATTTTCTTGCCACATTTGTTAAGTGAACCTGGTCTCCTCATTGACTTTACTTGTCACAAGGTTGCAAAAGGTGATTCCATGACCCCAGGACACTGCAACCATCATAAATGTGAGTCAGTTGTCAAGAATCTGAATGTAAATCATGTGAGAACAATTAATTAGTGGAATGACACACCTTCAGAATTTTTTTTTAAATAATCTTTATTGGTTATACGTTTTTTTTAAATAAGACATACAAATACAGCTTTAAACATACAAACCCTCCCCACTCCCCGGTGACAGTCATTCACAGCCCAACATTTTTTTTCTTCCTCATTGTTTAGTCTCTAACCAGCATCTTCTCGTTACAAAATTCA